GGCTTTCCTTTGTGATCCCTTCCGAGTGGACAATCTCTGAGCCCACCCAGCAGCACCACAGTGCCAGGGACTCCAGGCTGGACACTGCAGTGACGGTACAGCAGGCGCCAGAACACCACCGGGCAGCCAGAGGCTTGAAGGAAGCAAACAGGACGCATGAGGAGGAGGAGGTGGACTCCTATAAACAGTGCAGAGAGTAGGCAGGAGGGCAGGTAAGAGTGGTCCTCTGTTGTTTGCTATTTCTCATCAAATTACTAGTCAGCGGGAATTCCCATTTGGGCATCCCTGTTTCTGAGAGAGAGCTGTTCTCTTCTGTCCTTTGCCTATTAAACATCTGCTCCTAAACTAAAACAAAACAAAACAAAACAAAAAAACCAGTTAGCAAGGGAATACAACGAAAAACATCTATTTTTTGGCTTTAGTTAAATAGGCTCCCACTCTCCCTCTCTGGTTCTATCCAGAGGCATCTCCTAAAGAGCCTGGAGTGCCCCTGCTCTAAACTCCACCTTTACAGCCAGAGAGAGTGGCCAGACTCGGGTGGGACCAGGGAGTTCCAGGCCCAGGTTCTTTCCGCCAACCCATAGCAAAGGCTACCCGCTGGGCTGGGAGAACAGTCCTGGAGTGAGTTGAGGGTTTAGTATTGCGTGATTAGTGAGCGAATAACTCACTCCTCCTGCACAGAGGCCCCAGGAGGAGATGCCACCACTGGAGGGGAGGGCAGAAAGACAAAGATGGGGCAGGAAGGGACCAGAGAGATTCTAAAAATCTAGATGTTGGCTGGGTGGTGGGTCTCGTCTGTAATCCCAGCACTTTGGGAGGCCAAGGCATGCAGATCACCTGAGGTCAGCAGTTCGAGACCAGCCTGGCCAATATGGTGAAACCCCATCTCTACTGAAAATACAAAAATTAGCCAGGTGTGGTGGCACATGCCTGTAATCCCAGCTACTAAGGAGGCTGAGGCAGGAGAATCACTTGAACCCGGGTGGTGGAGGTTGAAGTGAGCCAAGATCACCCCATTGCACTCCAGCCTAGGTGACAGAGAGAGACTCCATCTCAAAAAAAAAAAAAAACCATGAAATCTAGCCAGGCGTGGTGGCTCATGCCTGTAATCCCAGCACTTTGGGAGGCTGAGGTGGGCAGATCACAAGGTCAGGAAATCGAGACCATCCTGGCTAACACAGTGAAACACTATCTCTACTAAAAATACAAAAAATTAGCCAGGCGTGGTGGCGTGCACCTGTAGTACCATCTACTCAGGAGGCTGAGGCAGGAGAATTGCCCAAACCAGGGAGGCGGAGGTTGCAGTGAGCCGAGATTGCACCATTGCACTCCAGGTTGGGTGACAGAGCGAGACTTCGTCTCAAAAAAAAAAAAAAAGTTTTTAATCAGCAGGGTCTCATAAGATGCATGTGAAATTGCTTAGGGATTTAACAGATGGTATTTGAGATTGCTGTTATTTTTGAGAACTCTTTTAGACAGAAGAAATCCCTAAGAACTAGAAGATAGTCTGTGAACATGCTTTGAGGTTACAAAGGAGGTGGAGTCTGTCGGTCACTTGCAAAGAGCTGATAACTTGAGCAAACATGTTAAACGAAGTCCCACTGGACTCCTGTTGTCCAGCGTCATACTTCTTTTTTTAGCAGTGACCACAGCTGAAGAAATTCCAGAAGACTAACTTACGTGTGTAGTGACACTCCCTGTGGCTTTCCCCACCGCACTCCAGCCTGGGGAAAGCTACATGCGCAGGGAAAGGGGGAGAGGACACAACCACGAGATGACTCTGCTTAAATCACTTCGACCAGACTCAGGAAACAGCTGAGCCAAGGGGGTCCACACTGTGACACTGTGAATGTGACTTAACTGGTGTCTGCAGTCTGCTCAGGATCCTGAGTGCCAGGCCCACACTGCTGTCTCTGGTAACACATCCTGGGGTGTCCCAAAGGCACCTCAAGTTCCCCCAGCCTGCCCTGCTGCCCTCAGCTCTCAGCCTGGGCTGATATCTCAGAGGAGCTCTCCTTCCCCCACGCCATGCCAAAAGAGTCCCTAACTCCTCTTTTTTTTTCTTTTTTTTT